TATATATATATACCACCAGTGGAAATCGCTCGGTTCCCAAGTAGGCTACCGATAGGAAGATTGTTTTCGGTTTCTGTGGCAAGACAACGATCTTCGATGGGTACCAGATTGCGGTGCCTACCGATCAAATCTCAGTACAATGATTTCAAAAGAATTCATTTAAAAATACCATGCGAACAACCGCTAGAGAAAATGAATTTCTCATCTCCGAGAATTTTCACTTCACACAAAGCTGTTGAAAACTTACAATAATAAGAAGTGATGGTCGGCAGAGGCAAATGAAAATTTATACCCAAGCACAACAACATCAGGTGATCTAGAAATGGATGCCAAACCGTGAAGTTAAAGAAATACACGCAAATCGTCTTGAATCGACCGAAAAAGTCACTGAAAGTTTTGCACATCATTCCATCTATTTGAAATTTTTGAAAGAAACTCAGCTTGCCTCATCATACCCAATCGATAAATATTAAGGGTATAAAAATCGAGTTAGACATATGGGAGCGTAATGAGGATTTTTCTTGAAAGGTCCACAGCGCAACTGTGAATTTTCCATAAAAACAAAAACGATTATCAACGGACTTATTTTGCTGATAAATTTGTTAATGTACGGCTGATATTTCTAATGATCTGCGCTATTAGCGGGAGAACTCTCCTGATCGATCGGAACATTTGCATCACTGGTTGACAGTGATTCCAACAATTAACTGTCGACAAAAACATTGTTTTTGTTGATTTGCTCCTCAACAGAACGATTTCTTTATTGGTATTCATTCGGCGTCCTTATCAACAGTCCAAGCTCGGCGTAACAGAAATGATTCATTTAATAGATCAGTGTTTTTTGCTCAGCTTTTATTTCTGCATGCCCAACATTGCCCAGAGTTTGCAAAATCTTCATTAAATTTCCATCCCGCGATCGTTTTTCAATGCCGAGGTAGTGTCGGCATTGAATAATCAACAAACAAAACAATGGTGATGACGAATAACGAAGCAGAATTGATGATGTCACGCAATTTTGTTCATTGTTTTCCGCTGATTGTTGTTTTGCAATCATTCGACAAGAATTCTGTTCAATAACGAAAACAAGGCAACAATGAAGACATACTCGATTGACCGCAACGAAATTCAAAGACTAAAACGATCAACTGGCGACAACCAACACTACGCTCTGTCATTCCCTTCTGACAAGTCAACATGCCGAATGGTACAGGCGAATGTCTATGCTTAATAACTTGATATTGGAAAGAACGTGCATTCCTTCGCCGACGATTATTATGCAGTTAGCCGATATCAGAAAAGAAGTCCGCTAAAGGAATGAAAACAGCACGATAGATTGCTACCCTATGCCGCCGAATAGTCATCGCAACAGAATTTGTCGCCAATAAAAAAGTAGCTCCGCTAGCAGCGAAATAGCGATTGCCGCCGGCTCCTACCATTAGATTCATCCATTCGCTGTCGCACACATGCAAAATAACAACTATCACTCAATGTGAGCGAATACTAGGTATGCAATTCAAGATTGAGTGCAACATCATCAGAAACACATGAAATGTCGTAATTCACCGAATCCCGAAATTCCCTTAATTTTCCAAGACTTTAATCCCCGTGCCAAGATTGAACTTCAATTATCGGACTAAAAATGCGTAGACCCAACTCAAATACTGACCGTTGCAAATGATCTCATCGCTGCCTCATCTTCATTGAAGGTCGATGTTTTGGCAACATTGAGCTATGCAAAATATCTGCAATATCATGTCCGAAGAAGTTTAGGACTGAAGTGGCTTACCGCACAAGTTCGATGGCATCTGACTGCTGTTTACCTGCTGCTCTTTCTTTGTATTTGTTTCTGAAACTTAGGAAACACATCACATGGGCAGCAAGAAAATTCGATATTGTACTGGGAAGTAACAAAATAAATTCACACCACCCGTTTTTCCACGATGTCGCCCTACGAGAGGACCCTAATTTTAAGACATTAGACGATCTCAGCACATTAAACATTGATCGTGCCTATGATAAGCAGTATGGTGCTCACAATAACACTCTTATTGATGATATTCATTAGATAGAACCACAATTTGCAGAGGAACTTAGGTTTACATACTCTACCGTTCAGGAACAAAACTCGCCACAAATAATAAGCTTTTCTCGACTCATCAACTATTTGGACTAGAGTTCAAAAATGTCTCGTCAAACTCTCAAGCACGTTAATGCGTAGGGAAAGAAATATGTTGATATTATGACTGATACGTAGTGGTGTTCGAGACAATTAACGTCATTGTTTTAATCAATTCCCTATTCGTTGGTTCAAATTGATCTTCACCACTTCATCATTTCATTATATCATGATCATGCCTCCATCAGCTGATTGCGTATATTTCGCAGGAAAGCATTTAATTGGGAACGCTCAATTATAAACATTCCGTCTTCAGCGACAGATAGCGATGTAAAATGTTTGGGATCGCTTTCAGGTCCCAATGATCTTTCATTAAAGAACAGAAGAACTGATATAACACCTCAAGCTAATATTAGGGACACTTCCACGAGAGGAGATTTATATCATTGCTTGAACTCAAATGCATGATTTTACATCGTTTTGTCAAACATAAGTCTGCGAAAATCAAATTATTTTCATTGTCGTACACTCGTGATAAGCGAAGTGCTCTTCGGAATTGCTGTGTGACTGAATGTGCCAGTGTTCTGCTCCATCTCTTGAATTACGATAATATTAGACTGCTGCTTAATGATCGCACTATCTGTGTGTTATGTCAGTCATTACATCTGCCATAATTGCATTACAAATGAAAATTTGTATGATAATGAATTGAATTTACTGCGAGGAATCAATTCATTTTGCATTCATTATTGTGGGATAAAAAGACCACTCGGGAGACCTCCAATAAGATGGAAAGACGATATTCCAAAGAAATTGGGTAACACCTGGCAAAGGAAGGCAAGATCAAGGACCGAATGGAAACGCATTGTGGCCAGCAATGTTACAAACGATTGATAACCTGGCCAATCCAGGTTATCCAGATATTGTGGGACCGTACTTCGGTTCACAACCGTTTTGATTCATAAACGAAATAAATGAATGAATTAATTTCGTAAGCTTTTTATTAATTTCGAGGTGTCATTTTATGAACAAATAATGAGTCACCTCTCCCGTCGTTCGACTTCACTTAACGTAATCACGACGTCTTCAGTCTTCCACAAATTAAACTCGTTTTCGTTCTCTTTTATCGATGCTCTCAACTCTTCGAGAAACTTTTTTATCTGTAATACAGTGCACTTCACCTATTAGCATAAAAATGACAATTATAAAAATATTAGTAAAGTTAATCATAATAATAATAAATAATACTAACGATAATAAAAATAATAACAACAGCGAAAATAATGCCACAATAATCGCCTAAATGTCTGGAAGTTGATTATTCATTCATCATTCAGATTGTGGCTGGGTTTGGGCGAAAGCAGTCTCAATTTCCAAGGAACTGTTCCTAATCACAATAATTAAAATAAGCTGCACAATCTGCATCTTCGATACATGAACTGTTCCATTCCGTTATAAAGTTTTTTCCTAAACATTTCAGCAGCGCAACTGTGAATTTTGAAGAGCGAATTTTTGTGAATTTTGAGTTGGAGAGCGAAAGCAGTCTCTGTTGCAAATGTAATGCTTCTGATCACAAACAATAATTGAATTAGATCGAATAATTTGCATGCTTGCCAAGTGCTGGATTACATTAATTATTACTTGGACATCGAGTGGTTGGTTCGTCAATCGCAGTGAGCGATCGGCGGAATATTTATTTTATTAGAGTAATGATTATTTATTGAATTGGTATTTGGCTACGATTAATTATGCAAAGTATTCACGACGACTAATTATTTACTCGGTAGTGTTCGGTTGGCCTGCTCGCCTAGCCAGCGGGGTTTAGGCGTAAATTGAGGCTAAAACAATGCGCACGGAAACATTGCGAGCATTGTGGCCAGCAACGTTACAAACGTTTGATAGTCTGGCCGATCCAGGTAATCCAGGTAATTTGCATGCTTGCCAAGTGCTGCATTTCGTAACGGAGTTTTTTCCGAGACAATTCAGCAGTGCGATTGCAAATTTTGAAGGATGTTCCGGAATAAGCGATTAGCGATAGCAACTGCACACTAATTCTGTTCAGTAGTGTTCCAGCAGGAAACAGCACTACTTTTTCCATTAAGCGGCGGTATACGCGACACGTTTACGCTACTTTTCCACCAGAAGCGCTGCTAGCGAGTTATCTTCGGCGCGGAAATAATAACTGACTAGCGAATATGGTTAACGTTACAATGATTCATTTATTTGGAATTCATACGATTAGATAGGAAAGAAGTGAGAAGTAATCAAATTCCACATTGATCACCCACCATATGCGCCACATATTCTAGGTCATCGCTCCACCATTCCGGACGCGATTGCGATTCTCGCCGTGATAGTATCAGTTCTTCATTGAAGATCTGAAATTACAAGAAATACACAGTTGGTTACGCCACATCAACACATGTACAACAATACGGAACACTGAAGTTTACCCCATCGCTCCCCCACGATCCCTTGCGGTCTTCACCAACACCCGGTGCCCTTGTGTCAAATATGGCTCATACTTCAAAACCACCGCTTCACAACAATACAGCGTATATTGCATACTATATACAGCTGGGATCAATTAACAGCAATTGGTCATGAAGCAAATGCTCAACGAGACAGGATTCCCAAAATCTCCGTTTTGAAGAAGGTGATAGGTTGAACATTTGTTCATCTTAGTTTCTATACAAGATATGTTCGTCTGCGTCTGCAGCTCTTATTTCCTTCGTTGTCAGAGCGTGAATGAATTCGCATCCATGATTCTATGATCCTAGTAAAGCCTCGAAAAGTTCCTTTGATCTCCGAACCGAATTCATTAGTAGCGAAACTCATCTTAATCGATGATCATACAATTTTATATTGCTACCATTGAAACTTACTGTAAGCATTATGTAGGCGGTTTTGAAATCTCCGAAGACATCGACTGTATCCAGTTCATCTCTCAATAATTTGCGAACCAATCTTCCGTAAAACCTCTCAGAGCTCGCTTTTTCATATATGTCACGATAATATTCACGCAAGTCTTTGAAGAAATCATTGCCCAACACCGCTTCACACAAATCTCTTGAATTTTCATCCAAGAAATGAATAGTTAAACAAAGCGTTCTCAAATTATCCCTTAAAATTAATTTTCATATTCACCACGTAAAGTTAATGTGAAGCAATAAAACCTACCCTAAGAGCTGTCTCTGTTAATGTCCATAAAACAAGTAAATGAAAAGGTGAAAATCTGATAAACAACCATTATAAGAATGATATAATAAATAAGTACAATTAATGAATCGCATGTAAGGAAATGGCCTGTCAGTGACCGCATTATTAGCCCATGGAAGCACACTATTTAACTACCCTCACAGAGAACCTGTGGGCAAATAGACGAGATGTCAGCAGAAGAATAGCTCGGTACATGCCCGTGAGTATGAGGAGTGAACGAGCAACTCTAAGTGCCGTCAGCACTGAACAAGCAATGTAAGTGAATATCTGGGCAATGCCCAAATGCTTGCATGCGTATCGCAAAGTCTGCTGGACATCCGTTTCTGTGAATTACTTTTCGTCATATTTTCAAATGCGTCTGTTCCACGTTGCGATAATGCTCACGCAATAATTTCGCATAGGAAAGTTTCTCAGCAAAATAGCTTCCTGACAAAAAAAGTGGCCAGAGCTCACATTGGGGCGAATACAGTGCCTTACCTTAACCCTCATTGCGACCTTGCATTGTGAACAACACACCTCAGTCACAAAATAGAGCAAAACAGGTAACATTACCGGTCAATAAATTTAAATTCTTCAGTTGTAATTCTCTGACAAAAATCTCTGACAAATATGCGCGCCGAATGAATAGGTGAAGTAATATCCAAGAGCGACTTAGATAGGTACATCCACACCCTTCCTCTCAACGATCTAAATCCATAATTGCCATTAAAAATGGACGATACAAACAATTCAGAAGTGTGAAAACAAGCAATAATCATTGAATTTTTGAAAAGCAACCTCTGGTGATCACAGATAATTTCAAAATATTCGGATTAACAAAGTGGTAAAGAAATATTTGGGCATATTGTTAGAAATATCCAAACTTCAAAATGCAGCGATGATCAAATGTTTTTAGCTGATTTGGTACTGTTATAAGGTGTGACCATCTCAGTTCGTTGTTTCAAACAATTTCCGACATCATCAAATACAATTCATTCACAGGCGGTCGCCGATTTAAAACGGATTTTGGGTTTGTTAATTTCATTGTAGGTCTATTCTTTAGGTCTAGGTTGAGAAAGGATCTTAGGCTACGGCTAAGGTTGATGTTTGTGCTTAGGCTGAGGTTTATTTCGAGGCCGTGACCGAAAATCACAGGAATCTGTTTGTTTTGCTGATGCCACTGTTTGTGGTTTTGGTTGGGACTGTTTGTGATGTTGACTGTGTTGCTGGTGCGAAAGCGACGATTAATAATTTAGTTTATCCACACAATAAATGAAGACGATAATAACGGTTCAATACAGAGAAGATGGTTGAGTGACGAGAGATGCCGATGATGGCTCATAAACAACAACAACACTGCATACACGAACAACACACTAACTGACTAATACGGAGGAACTGATATAACTATACTGAGCTACTTATATAGTCATTGAGATTGGCTGATTACGAAACAATGGTTACGAATTGCCAATGATGGTGAGAGAACACACGANATATGCAAAGCACTATAGACAGACATACAAGAAACCGTAAACAATAAACAAAAGATCACCGGTTTATCACAACATGATCCTTCAGAATCGTTTTATTGTAATGTAATGTTGTTATCATATTTGGTAATGCAGCTCTTCATTTGCTCACAAACGGTATCAGAAAGTGATGTTCATTGTTTTCTGGTTCGTTATACTAGATGATTTCGGAAAAGAATGGCTTATACAACGCCAGAATGATGCAGCAATAATTCCATACGCATTTTATGATGGATTCGTAGATTACTTCGTCTGTAGATTACTTCGCAAGCATCGAATGTCTATCATACACGAGCCTTAATTATTAAGTCGTTGTATAAGAACAGTGTTTCAAATAAGTGGGTCTTTCAACGATGATTTGGATGTAATAAGCCACACTTCCCGGTGTCTAATCCAAAAATTTAGAAATTTTTCTTGAATTTGCCCACAGTTTGTAAATTGAAGCACTGATCTTTGTTGTGGTTATTGAAAATCTGTTGGAACCTCCTTGCTGATCGTTTCCTTCATTTACGTTGCAGAGGTCTAAAATAACTCTTCGCCAATACAGTTCCCTTCCATCGGAGTAAACTATCTTTATTTTAGTAATGCGCTTCAGAGAATGCATTACGTCGCAATTCGAAAATGTCTAAATCACTGAACGAATGCTGCTCAATAGATCAAAGGCTGCCAAGAAACCACAAAATGCTTTCACGATTCCTCTTGGACATCAGATTTCGCTTATGAATACGACCAAAAATGTTAACCATCCAAAGCGTTAAGCTGAGCTTCTACTATATAAGTATTTGACAAGCTCAACTATAAACATGAATAATTGAACAAATACTTTTATTGAGTCTTTACAAGTCATCAGTGCTTGCAGATATTTGGTTTGAATTGTCAGGGAAACGAAATTCTACATTTAAAGGTATAGCTGTGGTGTCATAATTGCCAATTAGTTCAATTAAAGCGGCTGATACGTCACTGTCACTATTGCGAACGGAATTACAAAACGATTCCGGTCTTGATCACTTTATAAGATTCGTTTTTCTGGGAATTCTTCTTCGGAAGTAAGGCTCGTCATAAACCAACAGTCATGAATCGGCGATTACCTGTGGTGTGACAGGCACCATAGTTATTACTAGAAAGCAAGTTTACCGACGATCGGTATGAAAGCTCAGGTCTATTTGCAGTATTTTCCAGCAGTTTCAATCTTCAAATTTCTCCAACTATCGGTTACCCTTCTGCATAACGTTGGAATATCCCACTGACAATCATCGACCTTGTCTACGATACTCTAATGTGCTACCATTCAACAATAGAACATATATTCCTTCTTTCCCGTTGCAAAACCAATGGAATTACATATCACATGGAAGTGCAGTTGAAAATCGAATGAAGACATCATTAAAAGAATTACCGTTGCTTGAACTGCTCGAAGAAGTCATTGTATCTGGACCATAATAAATTAGCATCCCTAAAGAAACCATCCAATGGATTACTTGATAGATTCTGAAACTCACTTCAGTTGGGGTGGAATACAATATGTTCATTTTTTAAATCACTTGAGTATGTTGCTAAGATGAGCACAAATAAAAATGTCTGAATCAGAATTAACTCTTCAGTCTGCTCTAATCTGAAGGAATTTCCATGTGGAAACGATTTCGCTTCTGTCACGTCTCAAGTATTATCCTGCTGTGAAAGATAAATTCAGTGTGATGCATGGAATTGAAGGGAACGGCAGCAAAAATTATGCCGAGGAAGGAGTTGAATGAAAAAGGTTCGGAGACACTGTTCTAAACGATTCTTCTCGGTGGCCATTGACTAGTCATAATAGACATCTATTATGGACGGCAACTTAAACTATATTTGATACTCATCGAAACAATTGATTCTAAGCACAATATTTGTGATCTTGAAGGAGCTTCTTGAGCTGGTTTTATTATTTTATTTGTGATTTGTCATTCCGTAACGTCGTCTTTTTTCACGATTTTCCAATCTCGTCAGTCAACTACTATAGCATTAACATTTTGATGGCGAGATCTTATGATGCTGAAATGGTTTCTTCAACGGTTTCAGATCATTCTTTTTGTTCACTGCAACAAATTTAAACGGATCAGTGGAACGATGAAATTGAACTTACCATACTGTGTGGTGTCTTTGTATTCTTCTCCTTTTCGATAATTCTTCCCATTTTATTCCGAAGATAACGATCACGAAGAATATTTCGTACTGCTTCTGGCAAGTGGGCAACCAGGGACAGCACAGTTATCGCAGCACATAAAAATATAGCCAATTTGTCGGCGAATTGAAGCTCCAGTGAACCTGCGTCAACGATATCGAAATATAGTCATTCATTTTTAAATCCTATGCGTCGCACTGATAACAACGCGAGTCCCTGGTGAAGCTTTAGTTGTCGGCATAAGTTACAGATTATGATATTGCGTTTACCACAGGTAGCTTACAAGCAATCAAGTCGCCAGTAACTTTGTGCACACAGCGAGATAATTTTCAATCCTCCAACTCTTTTCTCAGAAAGGTTGTGACTTTAATCAACAAGACGATTTTTCGTTTTCAGAGTATAGAAAATTGTGTTATATTCTCTCAGATGAGTATCACTTACGTGGAAAAAAGAAACTAACTATGAAATGCGTAATACGTGAGAATTCCGGTTCTGATGTAATGAGTGAAACCTGGCGAATAATACGCAATGTATGGCCAAATGAGTTCTTCGTCTGAAATGAGGTTCTTACGAAGAAACTAGCAATCACACTATTATTGAAGGAGAATAAGAGAACGCAGCGAAAGAAACGCGACAAATGTCTGTGAACCGTTCTTGATGCCGTCGAAAAAGGTCAAATTGCAAAGTAATTTGGCATTAAATTCCCAAAATGTGTTTTTTCATTCCTTTTTGAACGTTCTTTTTATTTCAAACATATGTTACTATTGGATGTCAATCATGAACAGAAACGAATATATCTTCTGATGAAAGGATTGAAGGCAAGAGCGCAAGCTGTTTCTAATTCTGATATACGAGTGAGTCTCATCTGTAACTGCAAACAACGTTGAATTAGCGATCATCCCAGCTAGAATAATTGCTGATTAGAGTAATTGTCATAAACAACGTTGCATAGAACCTCACGTCATGCCAAGTAGTCCAACATAATTTCGAATTTCTGCTGCAACGAATCAAAATAATGTGAGCCTCTTCTCAATTGGTTGGAAAGAGTCTCATGGCATTGCCTTCTTCAAGTTTAACAAATTCAGAAAATTCATCCGCAGTCAGTACTTCAAGCCATACAAAATAACATGTTTCTTCTCCTACATCTCAGAACAAGCTGAGGTATTTCCACGGTCAAATGATGTAATATCAATGGGCATTTAGTAAGATACGAAAGACCCTTTAATAGAGCATTGGTTATTGCGACACCTTATATCTTAATTTTTGAGCTTTCATTGGCAGCTCACGGTCAACAAGATCTGTCGTTGCCTTGAGGTGATTGTATCTGGGTAATGGAGAAACTTGGAGGATTTTTCGCGGAAAACACTGCTCTCACGGTAGATCCCTCGCCTTGCTTGTGAATCAGCAGGAACTCTACCCATTTTCTAACTCTAGGAATTCCATAGCATACATTAGCACGTTGTCGAGTAAAGTCATGCGCCATTTCCAAAATTTCTACCGACTTCAGTCCAAACTGTACGTTTTTCGGGTGTAACTGCAGTATCAAGGTTGGAAATATCATGAAACCTTCAGTCAGAAACTCGATGTTTTCAAGATGGTTCAAACTGTTCTCAGCACGCACTACTCATTACAGAATCGGCATTATGGATTGAACATTTCGAATAAATTATCAACTTTCACGATACCGCTCATTAACCATGATGACTCAGAATCTGATGAGGTATGAATTATCCATTTTAAATCATCGTCCAAACTTCGACAACAGCCAACGATCACCTTGCAAAACAGGATAATCAGAAATGCATAACGGTGTGACTCATTTTGAGAGCATCGTCTTGCTTGCTCCTGAAAAATGAATCAATCGGTCATATGGAGACATATCAGTCGTATTACGAGCGAAACTCCTGAGGTTACCTCACGTGAAATTAACTTTTTAAAAAGTTCGCTCCAAGAATTACGCACACAAAATTGCATCATCTAAAGCACTGTTTAAGTAACATTCTATTCAATATTTTGCTATAAGGATTACCCAAAGGAACGATAAGCAATACTGATGATATTCACTGTATCATGGTTTGGTTGACTGCATTGTTGCAATGAAGGATACCGCTTATTGACGATAAAATTATTGAGGGAACGATTTAGTATGGTCTTGAAAGGATGTAACTATGTCGAAAAAAGCAGTTAGTCGTGCCGACGGGAAAGGATGCTTCTTAGACTGTAGCTATAATTGGCTGTAGAAAATGCGTGCATTTGTGAGTTGCTAATAAAGATTGTCATTGTTCTTGTCAAATGCATTCAAAATGATGCACTGCAATGAGAGCATACCAGTCGAGAGGTTCTCGCGAAAAACTCACCTCTGTTTTCAGCCTCCTAACAACGCTGTCACAAATTGTGAACGGCGCATCGACAAAAAATTGCAAAGCTGCTAACTCTGTCTCATTTACTCTATTGATTGTTTGCATGTATTCCTGCAAAAGTTTATCGAATTGCAAAGTTTTGTTTCTTGTTATATTAGAGGTCATTCAGAAATTTCTACTAAGATGACGGTAAATCATGGCAAATATGGGTTTTTTTTCGCTTCCGGATTGCAAACGCTTAGACATGATCGATCAGCTTCAGTCAGGTGCTCACGAACAATAAGCATGTCTTTTCTACGATACACAATGCGTGCTCAAATTAAACAATCCTCCCTAATTCGCAACCAGATTACGGTAAACGGTCCTGAATATTTAGGGTATGTTTCCATGCAGGTCGAAGGAAACGCTCACGAAATATCTTTTGCAAATGGTGGTCTGTTTCCGTTTGATATCGAAACACATCAGAAAATATTCTGAAGCAAATTCACGAAGAGAAGAATTTCGCTTCGTACGCAGTAACGAGTAGATCATGGCCTGAAATTTAAATTTAGTGTCCAATTTTCATACTCAACTAAATCGTCAATCGTTTTGGAGCCTGAAGCTGTTTACGAACAAAATTCAGATCAATTGGACATTTCAGTCCTAATACTGCGGACGATTCACCGGAGTCGACTGACGAGCAGTGGATATATATGTATGACTGATGTTGCACTGTAACCCTATTACTCATATCTTCTCCAGAAATGTCACTATAAAGATCAACTGCCATCATATAATCTGTATAATCCATAGATACTCGGAATCCGCTTCCAATCCTTGAGAAACACGGAAAAAGACATTTAGTATACTGTCATCAGTATAATCATAATTGCCTCCCATGAGAAAAATATATCTTCGACGAGCGGCTCAATAGGATAAAGCTTAACATTAATTTTTTATAAGTAATGAAATCTTGAACGGATGGGCAGTTCACGACGAGGGGAGCAATGCCAGTTGACTCGAATTTGGATGAAAACGAACATTTTCCTCGTTTGCTCGAAAAGGAGAATTTCTGTCGACGTAATCAACGAATGAAGCAACTGTGACCCGATCGTTTAGCCTCTCGAAGCTCACTTCTATTTGTTGTTCTGCATGAAAATAACAATCAGTTTTTCTACTGAGAGATTCGCATACTTTAAGCATCGATTTTAACATTTGCCTCGCGGCTCCTGCATTTTGTGGACATCCAAGAAACGTTTTGTGGTCGAAGCTGAGGATTTTTAATAGCAGGTGCATCTAGCAAGCGAAATTTTTGGAGATGGGTTCGGCCAGCATGCCCGATGAGATAATTGAACATATGTTGCGTCATTTCCTTTCTCGAGAAACTTGTATGATGAATGGAACCTAACTATTCAGCAACAGTGAAAATTATTTCAATAGTTTGAATGGTTTTTGCATTCCCTTTATGGCAGTCATACTGATAGCTAAAACTGCAGTGTTAATTAGAGTGATCGAAATCAGAATGGCACTCAACTAGTGATGGTAGTCGAACAAAATTGTAGTTCGATTGGAATCCCACCGGATGGACTTCTCAATATTCCGATACTCGGAGTGTGATGATTTAAAAAATTCCGGCAATTGCATGAAAACAACCGTGATAATAATATAGGCAACCGTAATCGATTAATGAAAAGCAGTCTTAAAGAATTGCACAAACATAAACTGAATCACATTGACTTACTGATATACGATCGAGAGAGATGAATATCGGGTGGGATGGCAAATCGGTGAACAGCGAACATGATCCCACCATAACCAACTGTGGTGAGCAGCAGCAACAATATGATCTGATTAAGTGCACGCCTCTGAATTCATAGGGAAATAATAACGTTTATCCAAAAGCAGGAAGTTTTGATGCGGATACCATCTGAGCTATGATTAAGGGAGAATTTTGGACAAATTACCGCGAGTTTGGGTCCCAAATCTCTCGTAAAGGCATATCCGATGCGTTCGCTGAAGGCGAACGCGACGAAACACATCATTGGAAATTGCAAATGATTTGCAATTATTATAAGACATCTGCAACGAATCTGTCATGACAGCACGCGTTCGTTATCAACGAATCAATAAAAAATTGCAAACAGTGCTTCTTTACTGTGTGGAAATATATCATTCCACCAAGCAACAAATTCAGCTCCATCTGACTCACTGTTATATCCACGTATATGAATCGACATCGAAATGATGCAAACACTGTATAAGAGAGTACAGTCGAATCTGATTGTTAACGGTCAAAAGTCGAATCTGATTGTTAACGGTCAAAAAGACGCTGATCAATAATACAATGTGAAGAAGGTCTGAGATAATATAACAAATAGAGTTAAGTCAGATTGTCGATCAAGAACTAAATCGGAAATGAAATTTCTTAACTCTTCTGATCCTCTAACCAGCAGTCTGATATTTAACTTTATGCGAAGAAATTTCAAAGCAAACTGATGCTCGTAACCTACTGGAAATAGCAATGCTATCAGAGTGAGTGAACGTCTTATAGTTAGGATGTTTTGACGTCGCATTTTTGACGCCAGCCGTTTTGCTGGCGGAAGCCTTGTGTAAGTGTTTTATAGTCTGAAACATCCACGCCTTGTACACTTGAAGTGCCGAATGAAGGTCAGCATCCCCAGTGAAGTGACATTTAAAAGAATTCAGTAAAATATCACAGAATTTTGACAAATCCGCGAGATTAATTAATTAAGTCTCTAGATTTGATGGAATTCTCTCGGTGCATGAGCATGAGCATGAGATAAATATTGTAACATAAAGTTATTATGAAGTTGGGACTGCTTAAGCTCCTTCGCAAGACGTAATTTGCGGATGTGACCAAAATGGAGAGAATGAATTAATCGATGAATATCTGTACTGAACGCATCAAAAAAATCAAGTTGTGGTCAAGCAAGACTAAGTCTTTACGCACTCGGAATCTATCGGAGGAAAGCAATTAACCTGACGAGTTATTGGTAGAAAGTGTTGAAGTGATAAAATGTGATTGACCGGACATAGCATTAATAACATAATAATCATTTTTCGGCGGCATATGAACACTAAAAGCAGACCTGCTCAACCGATGATAAACAGGAACGTGAATAAAATATAAGAAAGGTAATGAAAAGTAAATTAACGAGTAACCTTAGGCTAACGAATCTAGAGATGAGCCAGAGAGAAATCAGAGCAGGATAAGTGAGCATTCTCCTCTGAAATCATTAGCGTTATCGTATGGTGAGGTGATGAAAAGAGTTTCTGAACTGATCGACATCAATTCAGGAAATTTTTCTAGTAGTACAAAGTGTAGGATATGCTTTTTCAGAGTGGATTAAATCTGGAGAATGAGCTGAAAATGAGCCGCAACAAAAATCTCACCTTAAGCCAATTGTAAAACTGATGTACTGCTTTCAGGACGCTGCTTTGGGAACTGCTGAAAATGCCTAAATGAAAGCGATTCCACGGCTACACAAATACGTTGGGCAGCACGAGCAAACTGCATTTAAGTGCGCCTAAGCATGCACATTACACGTTGCACATTGCAACCTCACAATGATAGGTGTTCATAAATGAACAAATAATGACAATCAGTGATGCGGTGATTCACTTAAAAGAACACAAATTCAATGAGATGAACCAAACTCAGCCTGAACATTCACCTGAAGCCAAATTCGATACCAGAAATGTCTACCTTTGGCAACATTAATCTATCAGTATCTTCTGAGACGCTACTGAAATGGAATCAGTTTATCGTTCAACAAATACATAATAATGAATTCATCGTTTGGCATAATGAATTGATTGTCGCAATAATAGGTTATTTTGGTTTCATCTCGTTATTCACTCAATCCGCACACAACTGTAAATTGAATCAGACGACAGGAGTGATGTTTTCAATTGACGAATTTTTAATGGCGTTGTCAACCTATGTAAATGGTGGATAATCGCGACAGGGTTGAAGCCAATGCGTGTCCACCTAATCTCTCGTTGGCTATTCCGTATCTACTTACTCTCTTGAAGCCACTCTCCAACCACGACTACTATAAATCACTTTAGAATAAAGAATTTGAATATCAAAGAACCTCTCTTTCAGCCCCGTTTCATTATGGGCATCCATCGCTCGGCACTCATCACTCTGGGCTTGTCGTACTTCTTTCCACTCTTCCCCTTCGCCATTCTGTGGCTTCCCATATCTGCAATGAAACGAGAAATTAAAATACCTGAACGTATCAATTCGCTTGTGCTCGCTTTACGCTAGGGGACACAAATAAACGATATACTCGGGCAAGCATATCGTTTGTTTAAGTCTCCTCGCATCCAGTTACAGATCCTCTCGGGAAGTTGATCATGTGATGATGGATATAAGTCAATCTCATTCGTGGCAGTTCGGGAGGAACGACGAGAGATTACTTTTTTAAAACAACTTTCTGAACTTTTTATGGGTCGGATGAAACTGCTGTGGAAAGAACAGAATGAGATCGCAAATCAGTTTCCATACGTTTCCGAAAAGTCTCCATCGATCCAAGAATCTTGCCCTGGAAGCCGAATTTGACTTGTGGCTCACACTCTGCCGATCCCTGTTTCAAACCATACAAACATCGAGTCGTTGTTAACTCAGAAATACAGTCTCTTATTGCGATATTGCACCACCTCTTTTCAGTGGCGCCACTTGATTACGATGCTCTGAGGGCTGGACTGACATGGTCATTGCTGCGTTATGATTTCAGTCTATCGACACAACAATAAATTTCAGCCACTTCTTCCATGATTCGTAGGCGTAATGAACATTGAATTTTTCTCATGGCCTTCGCAACAGTCAACAAATGGATGAAGAGCAGGCACTAAAGCGATCACTGACCCCCCTGCCCCCATCACAAAAACAAAAATCGAGGATACCATGCCATGACATTACAAAACAGTAGAGAGCGACATGATTTTTGACTAGTGATATACTCGCGATATAATCATAATTGATTCCAAATGTATCTGTCATTTTCATGATTCGAATCACCTTTGGATACAGATTGGTGATCAACTTTTTTCTGGTGTGTAGATATAGTGCCGGTCAGAACAAATATGAGTATATGAGCGCTAAACGAACCCCCGTGTTCGCTTAGCGAGCTGATGGAGTAAAGGGCAAGGAAATTTGCGCGAAGGATGTTGCACGATGCAACATGTAAGCATGCATATGACACGTTGCAACGTAATGTATTCGTGAATGTACAAATAATGGCAATCAATAGTATGCCAATTAAGGTCAATAGAACACAATTACAACGAAAGAAATTGAATTCTGACTCAATACTCACCTGCGCCATGACTTGTCAAGGAACTGTCTGTCCTTGAGCGCTTGAAGGCAACAGTACAATTCATCGTCCGTCTTCCTGAAATGGGACATGTTGGCTCGAACTCAATGCACAATGTGTGACCGATTCAGTTTTTATATAAGCGTCCTATTGAACTGAAACCGGTCGATATAACTGGACTCACGGATCAATGTATGGGAGTATGATTTTGTCTGGTAGATGGATTGGAGCGTGATCGCTCTGAGGTTTCACCCTCTTCGTCTTCGCCGGCGGACGTTCTTCTGCTGTTCGCTTCGTTTCGGACTCACTTTTCATTTCATTTTTCTCCAACATCTTACCCCTTCAATGAAACGGTTGATCAGAATTTGTAATCGATGTGACTTATGCGAATTTGTACTCGAATTACGAATAGTGAACCAACAAGTGCCAAGTGTCGTTTTCCTAGGTATACTGGAAAAAACTGAGTTGTGCTCTTTTATGAGCATAAAAAATCAGGGTTAAGAACAGTGACTCACTGCCGATATTTCACAGGAATTCCTGACTTCTGTGAATCTCCAGGAAGTAGAGAAGTAGCAGGGTCATCGGGCCAAGATTGTTCCCCTACCGGTTCTTCCATTGCTATGTAAATGTGATCCGTCCCTCTCTTTCCAGAATTGCTTTCCATTTCGCTGCCTGACTTCTGGGCTAGATCTATTACTAATGCGAACTGTTCTTCGCCTTCAGCAAAGTAAAAATAGCTTTTGAATGCAGCTGCTTGTATAATCGGAAAAGAACCATATTTGCTCTCAAGAGTGCCTTCGTTAATTCCATGTTCTGGACTGATCGCATGTGAATATTTTCCCTCGTTGAAGTATCGTCATAAATTCCTCATTGTCTGTTGTTCTCATCAAAGCAATAAAATGCTGAATATGAAAATGAAAATAACAATAATGAAACCGACTGCAAACTTATCAACAATTTCCTATGATCCTCTCGCGGAGAGATCAGCCAAATGTTGATTAGCAATAAAACAGAATATACTGAATAGTCGAGTGCAGAAAACAACGTGGAACGAATTAACGATGAATGCGACAGTGAAGTACTAAAAATAAGTTTCAACAAAAACGATGATAAATGTCTTTTGTACCACTGATCTACAAAGCAGCGATAATATCACTCATATGATGAGAATCATATTCTGAGAATGTAACCAATCACACTATTCAAGAAGCACAAAAGACACGTTCTCTGAAGAAGATACGACCATTTGACAACAAGCAATATGCATTCAATTTATCATTGCAAATATTACAAACGAAATTTTTCACTATTATAGGTGGAAGGTATTTCTGTTTCAACATTCGTAATTGATATGATAAGCACTGTCTACTGGATGGTACGCATCACACTCTATTGTGCTCGAACACCCTGGAATTCAGTCTACCATTCTCATGTGCTGATTTTCCATGCGATCTCTGCTCATTCATTACAAAACGAAAGTGTCGACAGCGTCCGAAAACCGCACTTCTCAAGCAACATATTCAACTTCCACTCTATCCACATCCATACCAAATCAAATAGTTGACGCATCCTTTAAACGATCCTTCAAACATTCTAGAAATATCTATTCCAAATGTGAAAAACCCATACATAAATGCTGGAATGAAACGTTTGTTTCGGGAGTGAAGTAAATGACTATTAAGCAGAACGATGTCAGCATCATTTATAATGACTACGAAGGGACTACAAATGAATGTGACATTTGCATTGGTGTGCTAAGAAGATTACTTTGAAATTTTATGACTCAGTATATTCATCATAATGATATCTTATCAATACCAGTCAATATGGTACCATTGTGCACAATGATATCGACACTGTGCAGAATGGTGCAAAAGTGAGACATCGTTAATGGATGACATAAATGAAAGTTGAAGAGAAATTAGAAGAATGTATCGGAATGATGAGAGTTTAAAGATATGTGCTTAACTGCAGTGAATAACTGCTGATAACGTAAGCTTGGTATAGTGGCTTGACTGATGTTGAAATTAGTTTTTTATGCAGACGAAGCACAAAATTGTGACTGACTGATAAATTTTGCGTTCGTTAGAAAATAAATTACTGGCTCACGCAGTTCGGTGTAAAGGAATCGAAATTGCAATATTTCGAAATGTTCTGCATTTAGCACGTGTTAATTAATGCTATTGTAGTACGTGAGGCACTTTCACCAGATAGATTTCTTCAGATCAGTTGTGCGTTCAACTCCGCTGCATAGCTGCAAAAGCGCACGAACTTATGCACCAACCCAATTTTTATGATGAAGCTGACAACGCATTCGTTCCAAAAATCAGAAGTTATATTCTATAAGGCTGACATTAAGAAATATTAAAACCGCAAAAAAAACGAATTCTGTCAAAGCCTGGCACCAGTCGACCGAAAAGAATCTCTGGATTCAGAAAAATGTATATTTTTTCGGGCGATTCTGCTTAGTTGAGAAGATATAGATATTTTGTTATAGATATTTTATTTTATATTTTATTAGATATTTTGCAGATATTATAGATATTCTATTTTATTAAAGCTATCTCAACTAGCGCAGTGACACTCATTGATATATTATATTATACATTGATCGTTTTTTATAGATAGATCTGCACATTACTACTGGAATATCGAAGTTGTCATCTTCAAGACAACCGTCTTCTCAGCTTTGCCAAGGAACACCTGAATTTCTTCACATCATCCGATCCAGCGGAACTCTAAATTCAGACAATCATTATTTTGCTGAGTAATTCCTCCTCATTGAGGAGATATAGTTCATTACTTAAAGTTACACGCTTCACCACCTTCAAACCTACCGTACTCTCATGTTTGCTCAGATTCAGAAAAACATATACAAAATGCATGTTTTTCTGAATGAAGAGATCCAGCTGGACCGTCTGATGGAAAAAGATTCATATGTTACTGGGCAAACTTGAGCTTAAGGTAGCCTTGAAGGTGGCACCCGAGATATTATTAACAAAATGCCTATA